TTTATAATCATCAGTTACAGGCACTGGTCAATGGTACTTTTCCCATATAAAACAACACACATGATACAATGGTCCATAAATAATGGCAGATAGAATTCACATTTAATGTTTAATTGTCTGTTATTATTTAACAGGCTTATAAAACACTAACGTTCCTCATTGCAATTCATTTTGCTTGAAGAAGACAGTTGCAGAGCATGCCATATTGTGGTCTCTCTATATAAGGAAAATATAAAATAGAATCAGAATATTAGGACTTAAAGAAAGTATAGAACTCACCTGACCCAGTCCTCCCCTTTAACATGCAAGAAAACTAGGTTAGCCATTTGCTCAAAGTAACATTGTTGTCGGTTAGTGGCAGAGAGAAGACAAAAAAGCTGGTATTCTGACCAGCAGTTCAATACTCATTTCCTTTATACTGCATCGCCACTTAGAGTTATTTTCAAAGCTTTCAATTTTGATGTAAAATTGTGTTAATATTGTTGCCTTGATGTTAATTTCCCCTATTGCCTTTGAAGTTTTCATGGGTTTCATTTTGTGTTTTTCTAGTACTTTATTCACCCTGAAAATATGTATGTTAATTAATTTCCCTTGAACCATTTAACTTTTACATTAAGAGCAAGGGATACATGTAATAGTACTAACCATTTTCATTTTAAATCCTTAATTTATTATTTGCAACAGATGAACATATTTTAAACTTCATTTGTTCTCTGTTAGGTTAAGGTTTCATTCAAAGACTGTATTAACTGAAGAACTGGGAAAATGTCCTGTAGTTAATAATCTAAATAATGCTTTCCTTATAATGCGCTCCTGACTGCCACTGTGGTAATGTTCTTTTGTGGTTGCTAAACTTGCATTTGTTTCATGATTTATGGTGTGTGCCCCATTTAAAAAACTACCATAATCTTATCTTTTCTGGAGAATAGGAGAAACATCATTTAGACTTGCAAATGACAAGGAGGGCAATTGGGTAAATTGGATAAACTGGGTTACCTGAGTTTTATTGATCTGGTTATTTTCTTGCTATACTTACCTTTTTAAACAGAAATCTTGACCAGTTATAAGTATTTGCTTATATTTGGCTTCATAAATCATATGACATCACATGTGCAGAGGTCATTCAATGATAATTCCCATAAATTAGTCTTAAATCAAAAGGTGATAAGACTAGTTCCAAAACACAAACTTCTTTCAACTGAAATTTATAGAAATAGTCTCAGTACTTGGAAAGGATGAATGTATGCTATTTTTCTTTACATTAGTTCACTGCATCTCTGGTCTCATTGTCTGAGAACCTTGAGACTACAGTCTTTTATTATACAAATCTCTTTGGACATACATTATATTTTATGGTTTATTTTGTTTTTTTACAAAAATTTTAGTATGGAAAAATGTAAAAACATACTAAATCTATCATTACTCAACTTCAACAATTATCAGCTTATCAGTCAAATACCCTTACGTACTCTCCCATGCCCACTGGATAATAGTTAGCAAATCCCCAAATATCATATCATTTCATATGTATTTCAGTATATATCTCTAAAATTAAAGACTCTTTAAAAAAAATAACCATACTATGATCGTACCTAAAAGCTTTAACAGTTTCCATAATAGTATCAACTAACTAGTCAATATTGAAATATCTCTAATTGTTTCAAAATTTTTTTACATTTGGTTTATTCAAATCAGAAACCAAATATTATCCACATATTGCATTTGGCTGATAATGTTTCTTAAATCTCTTTTAACTCATATATTCCCTTCCTTCTTTTTTCCTTGTAATTTGTTAAATCCTTGAAAGTTTTTCAAATTTCAATTTTGCTGATTGTATTCCCATAGTGTTCTTTAATGTGTTTTTCCATTGACTTAATTTTCTGTAAACTGATAGATAGGTCTAGAGATTTGATCATATTCATTTTCACATTTTGGCAAGAATGGTTCAGGAGAATGTTGTATACTTATACCAGGATGCCAAAATGGCTGCTTGTTTCTCTGTGATGTTAAGATTATTCAGCGTTTTCAACAGTTGTCAGCCTGATCCATCCATTATAACGTTTCCTATCAGCTGTCAAAATGAAGTTTTTAGTAGCAATTGATGATCATGAATGAGGATCCATTATTTCATTATGTGTTGCAATATGGTATATTCTCATGCTATCATTTATTTTTATTTATTTGGTTCCACTTTAAAATGTTATTTTGGTAAATTAAATAGGTACTAATTGAGCACCTATGATGTGCTAGCACTCTGCTAGACAGTATAAGGGGAAAACAAAATATGTATATATCATGGACTCTGCTCTAAATGAAAATAGAAACATTATGCTCAAAATGATTAGAGAACAGTTATCATATGGTAAGTGAAATAAAAGAGAGATGAGTGTGGGTTGGAGAATGTTTCATGGAAAATGTGAGACACGTGGTGGACCAAGAAGCACTTTACGAAATAGGGGGGAACAGAGGGCATTTCAGGTGGGGGAATAGTTTGGGTCACGCCATGAGGCTGAGAACAAGAATGGTGGTATAAGGAAAGGCACAGGAAAAAACCTACCTAGAGATTATACATTAGCTAGGTTAAAGTAGGGCATTGGTTGAAAGTGAGAAAGCTAAATTATTTAGGTCATATTTGGAGAAATTGACATCACCCCATGAGCTTTCTGGTATTGTTCTAAATACATTTGGCACATAGACTTTGGGTGGACTAGGAAATTACAGCAAAGTGGCTTAGGGAAATTCAATAGTCTAGAAGCTGATTTGTTATAAATAAAAGCTCATCTGAGCTTAAGAAATATAAGATTGGTTCAAGTAATAGGTAAAATGTAAAGAATTAGTCATGTTGATAGATGTACATAGTAATAAAAATGGAAACTACAGAGATACTTGTGGTTTCACAGAACAAACAAGATTGTTTGAAAGAAGAGGCAGATGCACAGGGCTTGGTGTGAAGCTATGGCAAAGTTAAAGAAGTTGAGTTTAATTTTGGAAATGTTGTGTTTTGGGTGCACATACATACAGCAAAGTCTTTAAGCATTTGTTAGGATGGGATTGCAGACAAAAATGCAGAGTTGCTATTGTACATTTTAGAGTCAGACCAACAGAAGTGATAGGTTAACTCATAGGAGAGGATGAGCACATCAGATAACGAACAGAGAGAGGCTGAGGTTGAGAAAGGATAGCAATAGAGTTGGGGGTATAGGGTAGACACAAGAAGCAGGAAGAAGAGAAGAAGGTAGTATTCATTGGTGGAGAAGCAGGGGAGAACAGTGTTATAGCCGAGGAAGGAAAGAGTTTTAAACATGAAGAGATGGTTGACAGGGTTAAGTACCAACCATGAGGTTAAGGAAAGAGGGACCGAAAACTATCCTTTAGGTATTCAGGAGAGTGATCCCTGGTAGCGCTTGATAGGACACTTGATTTTGATATAGCATGTTGCAGATGGAAGGTGGGTACAGAAAGGAATAGTTGGGAAGTAGGAGGTCAGGACAGAAGGCATAGATGATCTTATTCTAGGAACAGGGTTCAAAACAAGAAGATAAATATGGCCAAGATAAGCAGTAGATGGGGAAACCTAAGTGTACTTGAAAATCAAGGGTCTGAATTTCCTTGGTTATTTTGATACATAGAGCAAAATATATTTTTAGAAAATAAACTTTGAATAATGAAAGTGCAAAAAGAGCTTAACTATTTAGTTATTTTAGCTCATCATATTTCTATGATATTTTATTCAATTTTCACTTTATTTATTACCATAATGAGTCATGCTTATATCAAATATGTAAGGCAAAGAGGTATTAAACTGAGAATGCTAGTTTCTTCCTTTTCCAAAAAAAATTTCTGCATACCTCTCCATCTCCCTCCTCTCTGCTTCGTTAGCTACGTGTGTACATGGAACATGTGTTTGTTTTTATTTTGTTAGTTTCATTGGCTTACTGCTTACAAAGATAATACATGTTTATTGTAAAAATGTCACTTGGCATAGAAAGGCTTAAGGATAAATTTTTAAAATTCCATGAAATGCTACTATTCAGAGATAACAATTATTATTGTTTTGGTAAACCTCCTTCCAAATCTCTTTCTATGTGTAGATACATAGATGATAATTTATATTAATGAGATCATACTATAAATGTGGTTTTGCACCTGCTTTTTTGCATCTAATAATATGTTGTGGATATTTTCTATGTTGATGAATATGGAAATATAGATCCTTTTTCAATGGCAGTCATTGTATGACGATACCATAATTAATTTAAGCTATCTCTTGTTGCCAGACACTTAGACGCTTTCCAGTTTTTCTGTTTAAGCAGAACTGCAGTGAATATTCCTCATGGGTACATTTTTGTGCACTTGTCCAGTTGATTGTCTTCTTTGAATAGCTTCCCCAAAGTGGGGTTGTGGGTCAAAGACTATGCATGTTTTCTCTTGTGATATGTATTTACATATTGCCCAGTGTCCTCTAGAAGTGCTGTGCCAATTATACTTCTACCAGTAACACCTGTCAGTACCCAGAAATTTCTTTTAAATGTCTTAACATTTTTTTCATCTTCATTCAGGCTCATTTTATTCACTTACAAAAATCAGGATGAAATATATCAGTAGTTCTTAAAAGTTTTAGGATATTAGGACCATTTGAAAACTGTTGACCAGAAACTGGAACTATTGTTCCAGAAAATCACAGCTGTGCAAAAACACAAAACTTTCCCATAATACTTATGAGAATTCACAGATCCTTTGAAGTCAGTTCACGGACTCTTTAGGATTTCATTCCATGAATCCAAGTGAAGAATCTCTGAATGAGGTGATTTTAAAGTTGCTTTCTCCTTTTAATACTAACACACACACATCTTACACATACATCACACACTCATGTGCACACAGAATTTTAATGTGTACTTGGAAAATCTTTGACAACTGCTAGATTCAGAACCTAGTCTCCTTGTGATCTGTGAAATCACTTGAGTGTGTATAGTTATTGGAATGAATTTCTATTTCAGGTTCGTCAGTGGCGAGCCCACCAGGAAGAGGTAGCAAGACTGGAAATGGAAATTTCTGCCAGAAGGAGAGAAAAGGAAGAGGAGAAAGAGAAACAGTGGAAGAAGAAGGAATTGTTACAAAGAGAAGAGAAGAAAAAAAAAGTATTTATACTGTTGCTGTGAATGTGTGAATGAATGTTTAATTGCCTGATTGAGATTTGATTGACCTTGGTGTTTGGCATGGAATCCTCATATGCAGCTCTTAGAAAGATTCATAAGGTTCTAGTGGAGTCTTGCTTAAATATATTTGAGCTTCAGAGACATGGAGGAGAACCCACTTTATTGACCTTCACAAGCACAAGTACATGTGATTAGAAGAGATGCTGTAGATAAAGAAAAGATAGGGTTTGTGATTGTTGTTAAATCGTGTACTAAGTAGGGACATGGCAAAACCAGAGGTACTGGGGTACCATTTTGGTTGACTGCAGTACAGCAAATGACTATCAAAAGATGTCCTTATTGGGAAAATACATTATACTGGGGTCAGTACAATTCATAGAATACCAAAAGGCCCTTTAAAGAATTTACTTCTTGATTTATTATGTGTTAGATTGTTTGTTTTTTCATATTGATACAAATTCATCATCTACTTTTGAACGAACATTTGTTTCCCAATCTTCAAAATATTAATCAAAACACTTATTTTTTTTAATTTTTTTTTTTGGCTGTGCCATGCAGCTTGTGGGATCTTAGTTCCCCAACCAGGGGTTGAACCCATGCCCTCTGCAGTGGAAGCGTGGAGTCCTAACCACTGGACCACCTGGGAATTCCCCAAAACACTTATTAACAGCTTTAAAATGATTTCTGACAACCTGTGGAAAGTAAAACATATTCAGAGGAGATTTTTAAAAAATATATGGGATATTTGTTTAGATATTTTGTTTTTCCACACCACAAAAGTGATAGAATTTACAGTAAAAAATATTTTTCTTTAAGATTTTATGACTTCTGTGGAAATGATTCACAAAAGGCAATTTATGATCAACTCCATAACATAATGAAAGGAACTTCCATTAACCTGTACACCTGTATTGGCTTGATCTGCATGATATGTAAAATGTTTTCTTTTGGAGTTGCTTAAAGTGCTAAGAATGACTAATTCACAGTCCTTGATGAGTAAATTTTTGCTTTTGTGAACACAATTGATTTTATATGTTCAACCAGGTTTATGAAGCTCTTGTCTAGAAGTTTTTCCTTTAAAATTAAACATGAGGGGGAAAAAAAGGCACTATGGTTTTTTAGCTAGAAGTCAGATTTCTGCACTTTATACTTCAGTTGCCATTATTCTTGCTTGTTTTGTGCTCTTATATCAGCAAATTGGTGTAGAGTCAGCATGTGTAAAAAACAACACGTAGAGAAGTTATATGATTTTTGACAAAGTAAGCTGCAAAGAAGACATAATTTACAGTCTAACTTCTAAGGAAGTTGGGTGGTTTCATCAAGTCCCCATCAAGAGAGAAACTCATAAATATCAATCATGTTTCAAATAACATAGGTGAACTATACACATCTCTGTGGGAAAACTTAACAATTATTAACTATTATGAAACTACATATGCTTAGAGATTTGTCATATACCTGGGCACCTTTCATAGCCCTTCCTCTCTATGAATTAGTATAATCATGAAAAGTACCGTATTTTTAAGCATTTGTTTGCATGTAGTGTCATTTTAAGTGCCATATAAAGAGATTTAGATACAGTTCCGCTTTCTGGGAACTTACAAAGGCAGTGAAAGAATACACAAATTAGTAACTCAAGTATTGAGAATTGAAGTAAGTGCATTTCATTATTAAATTAAATTTGAGTTGGGGAATTGGCATGGTTATACAGGAATGGATAGACAAACTGCTTGCTGTTTTCTCCTCAGTCTCTTAGATTTCTGGAAATGAGAGAAAGGTGTTTTGAAAGATGAGAGAGAGACCTTTGTTAGCTTGCAGATAAGCTGTTGACATTTGGCTTGAAATTTGGCCTGACACCAAAACAACAACAACAAAACAAACAGTGATGGACGGAATAATTAAGCTCTAAGCCAAATTCATGGTCAATCTCTTGAAAGTGTATGGGCCCGAGGCATATATTTTATTTAATTTATTTTCTTTTAAAAATTATTTCTTACATTTAGAAAAAAATTTAAAATACAGAGATTGATGTAATAAATACATTAGTACTCATCACCTAGCATTGAAACTGTTGACATTTTCATTCTGTTTCAGGTTTATTTTATTTTATAGATAAAGTTGAAGTCTTCTTTTGAGGACTTAACTCAGTACCATTTGCCTTCTTACCACACCAAAGGCAATCTCCATCATGAATTTTATTGTTATCTTTCAGGCTATCTATTGCTTTTAACATATTTTAATATGTATTTCATTTCTCTTACTTCTCTCATGAATATTACCACACTATTATTCTGCAGCATGTACTTCTCCATTTACCCTTACATTTTGAGATATAGCCATGTTAATACACAGAGAGCTAGTTTATTCTTTTAATGGCTATATAGTGTTCCACTGTAGAACTAGGATACCATTTATCCCTTCTTTTAGTGGATAACATTTAAGTTTCTTAAATTCTGTTCTTGAAAGTGTGCTGCAGCAGCCACTTCGTACATATTGACCAGGGCATGTATGCACAGCTTTCTCTAGGGTGTCCCTGGGGTGGGTGGGAATCACTATGTTGCAGGATGTGTATGTTTTCAACTTTATATAAGACTTTTTTTTTTTACTTTATAAGACATTAAAACTATTCTTTTTGACTTTGGCCAATATGCTAAATGGGAACAGTATCTCAATGTTTTAAATTGGATTCTCCTGGTCACTTGTGAGATTGGAAATCTCATGTTTATTGGGCAGTTTTCTTCCTCTCTGAATTGCTTATTCATGCTTCTTGTCCACTGTCTATTTTTTCTTTATTTAATCTATAGATGTTCTTTATAAATTCTGAATATTATTTCTTTTTATCAGTTACATGAGTTGCAAATATTTTCCTTCATTGGTCATTTGCCTTTAAATTTGCCTCAGTGTCTGTAGTTCCACGGAAATTTCAAATGATCAAATAATCGAAGTTTTTAAACTTTATCTTTGTGAATTGTGCTTTCCTTTATGAACTATGACCTGGTAGTGAGAACATCTCTGCAGAGAGCTTTTATGTTTGCCTCTGCTAAGGGCCCTATGCATTTTACTGGCCCAGGACCAGTTTGTATATTAACTTTGAGACTTGGGACCCATGCTGTGAGCTGGGAGTGGGTGCTGACTTAGCACTCATGCACAGCACTGGGGTTCTGCACTTGGCCCTTTTCTTCCTCTGGTCCCAAGCAGAAAGTTGGCTCCTTTGTCACTCTCCTGGGGAGTGGTCACGGTGTAGCTAGTTTCCCTTGTGTGTATGGACAAATCCTATATGATTTCTTTCTCTTCGTAGGTAGCTTGGTTCCTGCACCCATGTGCACAGGTCCCACAACTAACACTGAAGGCCTGGCCACCAGGTCCTCAGATGTATCTCAGGTCCAGTTCTCCCCAGGAGTCACTTGGCTTTGGCTCCTTCTCACTGCTTTGACTTTGAGTTCCATCTTTATTTTCAGCACTGGGACACTGGGTGTGTGTGTGTAGTTGTGGTATAGTTTGTCCAAAATTTCTGTGTTTAAAGTGGGAAAAAAGATTTCTATGTCAACTCAGGCATACTGACCAAAGTTCTGACTACCTTTATATATACTAAACGCAAATCTAGATTCCCTTTGTTTTAACTATTTTACGTGTTGGAGACAAATTTTAGTTCTTCAGTGCTTAATAGAAGCTTGGCAGAAAACCCCCTACAGACAGCCTCCCCCTGACTTGAGACTGGTTGCTTTATTACCTGGTGTTCTGTCTCTCCCCATCTACTGTTTCACTTGCCTGTCTCTTCTCGTCAGAGAGCAGCAATAGAGGTAGAGAAACTATGCCATGCGTAGAACCCCACATTAGGATTTCTGAACAAGAGATCAGCTTTATCCTAATTCTTCTTCCCAGTAATTTGTCTTTTAGGAAATAATATTTTCTTTTTGTGGGAATAACATAATTTGTATCCAGTGGCAAAGTTTATCCTAGTAGTTGCCCAGCTCCTTGCAAATGTACATTTATTAGATCACTTTTTTCTTTTGTGCTTTAAAACTCTAATTGAACATAATATTCAGTTTTCATAGTTTTATCTCAAGACTCAAGGAAAGTTTTGATTCATAAGCTGTTAGGTGACAATGGTAATATTTCAGAAGCATCTCTCCACTTTTGCAATTGTCATGGTAAAATCAAGAGATGATGCCTTTCCATAAACTATCCCTAGGAGCTATTGTAAGAAACAAGACTACCATGCTAGATGAACCTCAAAATGCCTGATATGTAATATTGGTCCCAGAACCACCCTTTTACTAGGTGTGGCTCTTTGGATGGCTTGAATAACAAAAAAATTGCTCTGCATCACAGCATTTTAGGAGGTTTTGTTGCTGCATAATGCTTGGCATTCTATGGGATCCAAGGCGAGGATATTTTCAGCCTTGCTCCCAAAATGGAGATTTTAAGCAAGGCTCACAGAAAAAGGAGACATATCCCTTCCTTGATTTATCGTGTCACAGTTCCCTCCCAATTTTCACCAACTCTGAATCCAGCATTGAAACCACTCATATTGCACAACTGAGGGGTGGGGAACATAGTCAGAAAAGTCAGAATAACTCCACCAGCCATGTGACCTTCAGCCTTATCTCAGAGATGTTTCTGGGGAGCCTCAAGTGACATTGCACCAGTAAATACCAATAGACCCAGTCTTCAGTAGAACCTTGGCACTTAGGTGCTTCCCCTTGTCCTCAGGTGACCTGGCAAACACTCAGAATTATATTCATCTGACAGATAACCAGGGAAGAGAGGAAAGAATCTAAAACAAAAGAGGGGAGGCTATCTTAATCAGAATGCAGGCGAAAGGGGTGGAACAGTACTACTTCTCAGAAGGTTCAAGAAACTCTGTGCTTAGGAGGGAATCCAGAGTACATTCAGATCAAAGCCATTCTCTCTATGTGGGGATTTATGGGTTCTTATGAGAGTAATTCATCATGATATTATGAAATCTCTTCTCCAGTGTT